GGGGCGATATGCTGACTCTGTAAACCGCTTAGAGAGGGCTGAAAGCCCTATGAAGCGGTATATAAGTCTAACTGCTATTGCTATTGCTATAGTAAATAAATACAAATATTCTATTTGTAGTTAGAACGTTAACCTAAGTGAGGGAAAAGACTAAAGGTAGTTTAAGTTTCATGGATGAAAATGCCTCATGAGTACAGCTATTCTAATTTTCTACTGGATGGGCCAATCTTTAATTTTGTGGGTTTTTTTGGTGGACCTGATTGTTACTCAATTTCCAACATTTTTCTCTTGGATTTGCACTGCCCCCCCCTTCTAATCAAATGCATTGATTCATAGAGGGCAGGATGCACTTCAATAAGTCTTGCCTGGATCTCAGAATTTCCACCTCTTCCCTCCCCCAAATCCATTATCAGCTACTTGGCCTTTAACTTTCACCTGTCGCAGAAAACAACTGATATTAACCAAAGCAGAACAAAACTGGTTCTGCCTGAATGTGTAGCTGGTTTTAAAAAAATATTTTCCTTTCAATTGCAGGTAATGGGATATTAACAGGCTTAAGAAATTAATGCCTTCTAGGTACACCCCTTCTAGCAACTAATCCTTATCTGCTGCAAGTTTCAGCAGGAGTCCCTTGTTTGCTGAAAGGGTGTGTTGTTGTTATAGATCACATGGGCAGAATGCTATGTCCGCCAACTGTAGAAACCACTTCCTGTCATTCGCCTTTTTTTCCTCCACCTGCCATAATAGAATTTCACAAAAAGAGAATGATCCCTTGGGATTAATTCCTGACGAAAGCTGGAGCCCAGGAGGATGTACTGTATGCTTAGTTATGGCTCAGCAGGCATTACAAGTAGGAACTTGGATCGTAAGAGTTCAGACACAGAAGCACCTTGTTTTCTTACCTTGAAGGACTTCCATAGGCAGAACAGTCCAAGCATTTTCTAGATAGGAGATGTAAATATAACGAGCTGTATTGCAGGCAAGACCGATATACAGGACTCTGCAAGCAAATGAGAGGAGAGATCGCCGATTACTTCTGATGTGTTTTAATATTCTTACTAACAAATTATCTGTATTGCTTTCAACTGATCANTTAATATGTAGTGGAGCTTGCACAGTCCCAGAATGTCCCAGAAGTTGTTTGTTTCTGTCCTCATTCAGCTGTAAGTCATTCAGCACAAGGCTATGGGGGCCTTTCAGCTCAAACTGAGTAGCATCACAATGTCTAGAGAACAACTTGTCCTTGAGGATGTAATTTTTGTAATTTTCTAAAAGTTATTGTCCCAGGGGATTATGCCTTTTTTTTTTTTTGGAGAAATGGCTTATATCACTCTACAAATAAATTGGCTATGTTTGTAGCCAGTCCAAAGCAGGATTTATGTTAATGATGCTTAGTTAAGGAAGCATGAATCATTCTTTGGGGATAAGCAAAACAATTTCCTGGTTTGGTTGCTCCCATGGCCTCAAGAAAGCATGGATTGCTTTGAGAAACAGTGTCTGTTTAGACATTTGTCTTAGGACCTTAGGCAAAGGGTCTAGAAAGCACAAAATCAAGGAAAAATCTAGGATTCTGGGATCAGCCCTAATAAAGCATGACTAAAACAAATCAGAATGTGTAACCATAGTTTCTCTTTGCTTTATTACTTGTAATGCATTACGAGATTCAAACAATCTGTAGTTACATGAAACCCGGTCTTAATATTATTTGAAATCCAAGTTTCTGTTTTGTTATTTTCTGAACTACCTTAGAAGCAATCATTCTACGAAAGTTAACAATCATCTGAGCCCATATTCAGTATTCTTTATATTTTGGGTGTGTTTTAGAAGTAGCAGCATTATTCGACATTTTTCTGACACATGGTTGTGTTCTAGTATTTAAGCTATTATACTTTACTCAGCATGTTTTAGTATTAATGCTGTAGTAGAAACCACATGCAAATAGACTTCATTTTATCACTCTTTTGGATGAAAACATATGCTATCATTTCTGCTTTATTTTGCCAGATAATTCAGTGTGTGTCTAAAATACAAGTGCCTTCAACAGGTACAGGTGTTCACCCATTAAAATGATAAGATGCCTGTATGTTAGGGCTTTTAGCAATAAACTCAGGAACCCGAGGAGAATTTTTTTTTTAGCATTTTGAATTCTAATCATAATTCTGCTTAGAATCTCATTAAAGGGCTGCAGAACTGTTTGGGTACAAAATTGGCACCTTGTCAAGAACTCAAGGTCGGCTGTGCTTGGAGAAGCCTTAAGAAGGAGATCTGATCTCCAAGGCAGCAAGGTTAGAAGGTCACTTCTTACCTTTCCCTATTTTCCCTACCATCCAAAGTGGTACAACACAATCCTCTCTATACGACTGCTCAGAAAGAATAATTGGAATTTACTTAGCAGCAAACAACATAGCTAATAAATTCAAACTGCCTTGAATATAATTCCTTGGTTATTTTAACTTGGTAGGGTAGATTTAACTTGCTAGATTTTCCATTCAGTATAGTGTAGTCAAGAGCAAGTCTGCCTGTCAGATTCTAGGTATTTTTTTAAAAGATGTACCCCATACCGTTTGGGTTTCAAATCCGTAGCGCAATCTTTACAGTGCCCTCCCTCTCTCCCTGGTTTAGAAAAGCTGCTCAGTATTTCCATCCAGAAAAATTGGAGCCTCGTTATTTGACAGAAGACGAATACCGGGAACAAGGAGAAACAGAGACCGTGAAGGCCCTGGAGGAGTTGCGCGTATTCTGCAGGAATCCCACTTTCCCCTCTTGGGTAGCGGTGGTCAAACTGCAATCTCCACAAAAGTAGGCGCATTTGTTTTCTTTTCCATTTCTCAAGGCTTCGTTTGTGGTTTTAAAATAGCAGAAGCTTATTTTCCATTGAGGCTGCCCTTCCACAGGAGTCCTCTCTAGCATGCTGCATTTGATGCCTTTGTGGATGACATTAAAGCAAAGTGTGGTTGCCCCAGTATTTTCTTTTCCTTGCATTTCTCCCTTTCTTCATTACTTTTACGTGTTTACTGCATTGCTTCCTTCTGCTTAGCGATCCCCCTTTCTCCTTTCTCCAGGTTTGCAAACTTTGTTCTAGGTTCCCCTCATGTATCTGCTGAAGAAATGACAGCCCACGAGGCACAGTATGGCATTGGAGGAGTCCTCCTGGAGCAACAGCTTTTCTACCAAGAGACACAGGCAGAACCAGAGCCCCTAAACGCTTCTCCTGAGGTGGAGGAGAGAAACAAAGAAGAGGGACTGAGACGATTACAATCAAACATCCGGCATTTCCATAGTAGAGAATTTCTTTGAGCTGCTGTCCAGATCAGCAAAAAACAGGCAATAACATGCTTTTCTGAACTGTAGAGGGCAGTCAAGACATTTTGAAGCATAACTTCATTGGTTTCCAGGAAGCGGTTAAGTTTGCAAACCCATCATGATTAGAGTTATGTAAGAAGGGAATCCGTGCACATCTGAACAATACCGGATTTAGCCAACGCCTCTGCTTAGAAGCACCATTTGCTGAAGGTTTGACGAGGCAGCCTGTGGAGGGCTGGAGCACGGAATTCTTCTCAATTGTTCTGCCAATTTACAAGGCTCCTTTTACAGCAGTCTTATTTTATTTTTTATTTTTTGCCTGATTATAGTTTCTAAGTTTGCACATTAACCCATGGTGTGCTTAACTCTCATTTGCTAAGTTCACACAAACATGTTAAGCCATAATTTTTGGTTTGTAAACCGCAACAGCTGCAACCCAACACAATCACGTTGCTGGGGACCGACGACCCAGTGAAGACAACTAATGTTGGGAAAATGAGCTGAGAAGTTGAAGTTACTGGTGATTAACCACTTTGTGGTAATCATTACTCTCCAGTGATTGGGATAAACTGAAGTTGTGTTGTTTTAGCATCATTTGCAAATAAACTGAGCATTTTAGATCAGTGTTTCTCAAACCTTGGCCACTTGAAGATATCTGGACTTCAACTCCCAGAATTCCCCAGCCAGCGAATGCTGGCTGGGGGACTCTTG